TGACAGCAGTTTACACATACACTCACAGCCCTGAGTGAGAGTAGGGGTGGTGGGGCGGGGTGGGTGGAGTTTGGGCCCAGGTATGGCCTTCACCTTTGCCAGATGAAGGCCTGAATTGGGTCCCTCCGGGTAGGTCCCCAGTCCCCAGGCTCTAGCACTCACATTGTAAATGCTCTGTGTCTGTCCTTGTCCCGGGGGAATCTGAAAGGCAAGGGCGTCGTTCCTCACACCCCAGCCTGGCCAGCCACTCAGGAAGCTTTAGGGATGCACAAATGAAGAGATGAATGGAGTTTACGAGATGCATCTTTGATGGGGGAGGCATGTATGTGGCCCACAACCGTCGTCTGCCAGCCCTATCCTCAGTGTCCTTATCACTTAAGGGGATAAAAGTGTGACGTGGAGGATGGCTTGTGACCCCATCTTCGGGGTACAGAGATTACCACGTTTGAGGACTGCCTAGTGGCTTGCCTTTGTCCCTTTGAGAATATTTGTCTGAACTAGGACTGTTCTCACCTGAGAAGGCGCCTGCCCAGCCATCGGCCAGGGCGCCGCTCGATTCTGTACCCCACCCCCCTTAGTGTCCGGCGCTTAGTGTCCCACCGTTACCCTTTCTGAGCCTCCTGCTGGATGTGCTCCCACCTAGGCTGTTTCTGACTGCACCTGTCACCCTACTTTGTGCCCAGCACCACACCGTGCATGGGAAGCGACACAAGCCACCCTAAAATGAGGCCATTTCTGACAGCGGCAGAGCAGGAGGGTCCTCGGCCCAAATGTGCGTCTCGCACTTGCCAGCCAGCGCCTCCTACATCCCTTCCACTCCACACCCGCATGTCCAGCTAGCCGCTGGCATCTCCACTCCAATGTTCCACTGGGTCCTTCTGTCCCTGCTCCCTGAGTCAGAAAATCGCACACCCTCCATCCAGTCACCTTTCGGGAATCCCCACTTACATGCCTTGCCAGGTTGAGAGGATAGAAGACAAAGGGTGGCTGTCCCCTAGACTGTGAGCTTCAGTGACAGGCTGTGCCCCTGTCTGTCCCGTGTGCCCCCATGTGTGGTGTGGAGCCGGGTTCACATAAAAATAAACGTGCTGAGTACGAATCTAGGCGTGTCTGAATCAGTGGTTGTTGCTTTTGCTATTTTGACTGCCACCGGGGAGGCCTGTCCCGTGTTGCCTAAGATTCTGTCCACAAAAGAATGTCCTGCCGAAGAACAAGTCTTATAAGAGTTTTCTGAGCCAAACTGGTGACAGTTGCCAGGAAGCAAAACCTCAACGGATGAAGACAATCGCTCTGGAGAAGGGCAGTTTGGCAGCTTATTTTATACATCGGAATCAAAGGAGGAGACATAAGGAGGGTTACATGAAATCCACGGGTGGTAGATGAAGGGGTGGGAGAAAGCCAAGTGGGGAAACCGCTGGGATTGGATAGAAAGGATCATGGAGACGCACACTTCTTTCACACTGGTGGGTACAGGATAGTTAATAAACATTTACAGCACATAGAGACGGTATGTGGACAAGATAACAATGAGGGGTTCTGTGGTCTGCTCTGGTGGTAGGTTGTGCCCCGAGGGGTCTGGGAAAGGAGGTGACACTGACATTCCAAGGGTCTGTCATCTTAGATGCAAAATGACGATAGACAGGCTGATCAAGGAAGCTGGACCTAGGACGTGAGTTCCCACAATGACCTGCTTTAAGTTAGGAGTTTTTATGTTCAGACCATCCTATGTGGTTAATTTCAGTCTCTGAGTTTGTAGGGCCTGCCATGCTGGCCTCCCCTTGTCAGGTTTAGCGTGTGGCCCCTTTTTCATCTATAATCCTAAGGACAAGTGACAGGTTGAGGGAAGGCTTTAGGATGGGGATGGGTGGCACTTAAGAGGCTCCACAGGGCAGGTGACAGTAGAGCTGGGTGAGAAAGGGAGAGTATAGGAAATGCAGCCTCATCAGGAAAGATGTTTTAGGGGCCGGCTGTGTGGCGCGATGGTTAAGAGCTGGCTTGGGACCCAGAGGGCCCCGGTTTGGATCCCACATATGAGGGCCAGTGACACTGCCCTCTGCAGCTGAGATGCTGAACAACAGCTCAACCTGGAGCTGGGCTGCTGTGAGGCGACGGCATAGGCTGCAGCCCCTGTGGCAGTGGGTTGCCATGGGCTACCGTGTGTAGCCAGCGGCCTGCAGCCGCTGTGAGCAGCTGTCCAGAAGCCGGCGACTGATCTGCCTCGCCCGGGAAGAGCGCAATGATGGTGCCAACTTGGGCCAGTGAAGCAAAGTCCTCCACAACTAGACTGAGGAACAGATAAAAGATAGCAACTTGTCTGTCCCCCTTCCCCCAATTCCCCAATAAAAATCTTTATTAAAAAAAAAAAAAGATGCTTTATTGGAAGGTATCAGTCATAAATGTGTCACACTCAGGTAGGCTAAATTCAAGAAAATGAGAATAGGATTTTTCTATGATTAAGTTGTTCTGCCAACACTTCTGATTTAGTAGTAATTAGGAACCTTGCATACAGAAAATTTTCAATTAGCAGTATGCCTGGGGAATGGAATATACTGGTTAATTAAAAAACCCTTTAGGGTTCAATTCCAACCCAAAATATCACTGAACTATATCAGTGTATTTGCTCACCTTTGCGAGTACTTCAAGAGTGCAATAAGGGCGGTTTTCATCGTGCAGTGTTAGTAGGTGCTGGGTTAAAAGGGCTCATTCAAGGGCTACGCAAGTGTTTAAAAACATTCACAGGACGCAGCCTTCACTTAGCATCTTGGGGGGGAACACCGGACAGAATTCGTAACCAATTCAACCAGACCAATGTGTTTGAGAACGGGCCGCAGGAGATACCTACTTGCCATGTGGTCTGGTAACTTCTCTGAGCCTCAGATTGCAAATGAGTAACGTCTGGGATGAAACGTTCTCCAAGCTTCTGGGTGATCCGGCTGCCGCAGCCTCCGTGACTTTCCTCACTATTTCTTACCAGCCCACTGGTGCCTGCCTCAGGCAAGACCCACCAACACGCACACATGCACACACTAGCACGGGGGGAAGGGCCCCGTCACACCTGCAGCCCAGGTGAGGTGCCACTTACCTAAGGAACCTGCAGACGGACCCACGAGAAAAACCCAGTAAGTAAAGGGCCCCGGAGTGCAAACTGTATTTCCCTGCAGGTGATTTTTTTTTATTTAATTTATTTTGGAGAGGGAAATACCGTATTTGCCGGCGTATAAGACGATTTTTTGGCCCTGAAAAATATGCCTCCAAGTGGGGGGTCGTCTTATACGCCAGGTACACTTCAGA